TTCCAACTGCCCGAGGCAACGGATCCGGATCAGGGTCCTGAACACACAGTTCAGCACTACCAGCTGGTGGCCACGGACGGGCCACCAGGCAAGGACAGATACGTTGGTGCCGGTGCGGGCGTTTCGGTTTTTGACGCCTCTGGTCGGCAGACCGCCTCCTCCACCTCCGATATGTTCAGCCTCTCGCATGAGATTTCAGAGCGGCTGACGACCAGTCCGTACAAATTTAACCTCCGTCTGAAGGTGAATGCGGACCTGGACAGGGAGAAACAGGCAACCTACTACTTCCTGCTCTATGCTATTGATGGTGGTGGACCACGAGTGGGTTACCATGGCAGTTCTTCACTCGTCCAGCAGGCGGCACGACAGCTTACTGGGACGCTGACCATCGTCGTCAAGGTTACTGATATAAACGATCAGGCACCCTACTTTCTGCGCCCCCAACCCTCTATCGAGATTTTGGAGAACACACCTGTCGGCACGCAGATATACACCATCGCTGCCAACGACAACGACCCTTCTGATGCAAATCGCCTTGTCTACCGCATAGGTTCTGCTGCGAGCACAGAAGTAACACGACTCTTCAGCATAAATACTCAAACTGGGGCCGCTTTCGTGATTGGAGAAATCGACTACGAAACGGCACCCTACCTACCCAGTCGGGAGTCCAGCGATAAACTGTCCGGTGGTCACATGATGACAATGATGTCGCAGGGCTACGGTCATACCGCCAAGAAGGAGGTTGGTTATTTAATCCCCGTGGAGGTATCTGACGGTGCACATATTGCGGAAACCGAACTCAGGGTGCAGATCATAAACGTCAATGACAATGCTCCCAACATCTCGATCCAATCACATCTTCAGCGATCGTCAACAACTGGTGAGATCCTGATTAAAGAGGATGTGCCGGAGGGTACTCTGATCGCGACCATCTCCATGACTGATGCCGATGAACGTGGGCCTGTCCCCTCTAATGTAGGTAGTCATGGCATGGTCTCTTACCTGCATGAATCTCCCTACCGTGAAGCTCTGCCTCACTGTTCCACCACCAACCCCTTCTTCCTCATTCAACCGCTGTTTCCGGGTGCGCGGAATCACTTTAAGCTTGTGACCGCTCGTCTGTTGGATCATGAAATCAAGGCCAACCTCGGTGTGACCGTGATGTGTCATGACTCCGGCCAGCCCGTCCTCTCCTCAAAGCAGCACATAAATGTACGTCTGGAGGATGTCAACGATTCACCGCCCGTTTTCGACAAGTCCCTCTACTATGCACGCATCAGTGAGGGTCTGCCCATCCATACACCCATCACACAGGTCCACGCCACCGACGCCGACACGCGTCTCTTCGCGGATATTAGATACCGTCTGGTGTCCCCGTCCTCGTCCGCGGGGGGCGGGTCCCCCGGAGACCGTCATGTCCTGGAGTCAGCAATTCTTTTGGACGAGAGGACGGGTCAGGTGCGTAGTGGAGCTGTCTTTGACCGTGAACTCATGAGTTCCATCAATTTCACCGTCCTGGCAGTGGACTGTGCCGGCGGACCCCATTGGCGAAATAATTCCGTAGAGTCAGGCACCGCGACCGCCTGCAGTCAAGTCAACACCGCCACCGCGGAAGTGATTGTGTTGATTGAGGATGCAAATGACTGTGCCCCGGAGTTTGATCAACAGTCTTACGAATTTCCCATCGCTGAAGGCCAACCACCGAAAACACTGGTGAGTAGTGCGTTATTTTGCTGTTTTATGCCCGTCTTTGAAGCACCATGTTTTAGTTTAGTTTATTTGAGGGAAATG